TGCTGTGTGATTCCGTCCAGTTAAGGCAAGAGTGGTTTGTGATTCCGACCAGTTAAGGCAAGAGTGGTGTGTGATTCCGACCAGTTAAGGCAAGAGTGGTATGTGATTCCGGCCAGTTAAGGCAAAAGTGGTGTGTGATTCCGATCACTTAAGGCGAATTTCATTCCAATTGGTCAGCTGAAAATATTCAAAAATGGGCAAAATATTCAATTGTACCAAACAATTCACAACAAATGTTCAAATTGTTGCCCTTCAACAGCCTGGCAATGTGCCAATCTGTTATAAACAGCTGAAACCGCATTCCGGAACGTTTCCGGCGGTATTAGTTCTATCTCTCGAGTTATTCTCCCTCTTAAATCATCTAAATCTTGAGGCTTGGTGGCATAAACTTTACTTTTCAAGTAACCCCACAAAAAAGTCAAGTGAGGTCAAGTCCGGAGACCGAGGTGGCCACTCAATATGACCCCTTTGCCCTATGCACCTGTCCTGAAAGACCTCATTCAAATATTGACGGACAATGACACCATAATGAGGTGGAGCTCCATCTTGTTGGAAATAAATTTCATCCATATTTCCACCAGCTATGTCTCGAATAGCTGGAACAATTTGTTCGCGAAGTATGACTGGATATACTTGTGCTGTCAAATTGCCTTCAATGAAAAAAGGGCCAACTGGTCTACCATTAAGAATACCAGCCCATACGTTAACTTTTTGTGGATATTAGGTATGATTGTCTCTTTTCCAGTGAGGATTAACGTCACTCCAATATCTACAATTGTGTCTATTTACATTTCCAGTCAGTTCAAATGTTGCTTCATCAGAGAAAACAATATTATTAAATAATAGAGGATCGTCGACAATCATCTCCATCATAAGATCACAAAATTCGATGCGTCTATCAAAATCGTCTTCGGACAACTCTTGGGCCAAATGGAGTTTATATGGATGCCATTTATTCAATTTCAGAATTTTACTGACAGATGCATGACCGATTTCGTATTCTTGTGCAACGCGATTGATGGAAATGTGGGGACTTTCAACGAAAGACTGTAAAACATCTAATGCCTTATCATTATTTGTTGCTGTTTTACGTCTACCAGGTCTTAGGCGGCTTTTAACGCTACTAATGTCCTCGAAACGTTGAATAGTACAGATTACAGTACTTTTGGAGATCCTATTATTTTCATTCCGAAAATTTTCATTAAATAATCGCGTTACTGTTTTATACCCTCTTTGTTGATCTCCCCATCCTCGCATCATTAACAGTGTTATTCGATCTCTTTCAGAAAGCTCCGCCATTCTTAATTAGAGCAAATAAGAATTAATCAGGTAAGTGATAGTAAATTGATCTAAATAATTAAGTAAAGAAAAATACTAATTATTAAGTGTTGGTCCAACTATCGATTTGTTTATTTCAACCAGCACTAGCAAAAAGCTCGTTGAGCAACTGAAAATCTAATAGATGAATTAATAACATTTACGAAAAAATTCTGGGTTATTGGAAACAAAATGAAGATGTTTGGGACAACAATTGAATGCAATGTTTGGGACAATCAATTGAACGCAATGGCTTCTTTTGCTCCAGAAACAATTTTTGGGGCTGTTCGTTTTTATCCACGAGGTGACTGCTGCTCGCTAAGAAAAAGACAGCACTGCATCAAAGATTCAAATCAGTGAACCGCATTGTTTGCTCAAGAGCTTGTATTACTATTGATGCCTGCGAGAGTGAGACAATAAAGGTCCGCCCCGCCAACGCTTTCGGGTAGCAGATTCCCACTAACGCCTTCGGACATTACGCATTCCAGCTGCTTCTCGCGATCACTTTCGGGCAGTTTTCCGCCATAGCCTACTAGCATAACCGCTTGAAGCCGTACAACTTTGCTATTGGACATTTTTCCAAAATGCATTCTTACTGAAAATATTAGGGGGAGCCGATACTTTTCGATTAACGTATTTAAACCAATTAATTGGTCTCATTATTTCGCGCACAAAAGTATTAAGGTTATGATTACTGAAAACTAAATAATATTTTACAAGATATTTTACATTTTGTGTCAAAAAATTGTTAACTTCAAACCTTTATAACTCAAAAAGTACTTAATGAAAAAATGTTCCATTATAGTGTTTTGGAAAGCTTTCGAGATAGGCTATAAGAATATGCAATAAAATGTTGGGGGTTCTATTTAAAAAAATAAAGTTAACCTTGAAATGACCTTGAAGGACATGGTCAAGGTCAAAGTCAATGTCATCATCTTACTCCCCGCTTGAAATCATACAACTTTATTATTGGACATTTTCTCCAAAATGCATTCTAACTGAAGATATTATGGGGGCCCTATACTTTTCGATGACCCTGTATTTTGGACATTTGCTATATATGGGAATTATCTAGAATAGAATAACAAAATTCGAATCGAGTACTAAATGCGAAAGAAAATTTGATGGTTCGCTATTGAACAATATTTTAGAAACGTTTGCCTGAATGGGTATGAATCATCCATTCATTTTGAATGGATTATTATTAACACTAAAGAAAAAATGGTTAGATTCTAATTAGATTGATAAATAGATAAAGAATTTACTTAATTCTTTTTAAGCTTTGTGTGAAAAAACAAAATTATTCAAAATTTTTTATTAAAATTTTCATAAAAGTAGCTTAATAAATAGTACATGCAGATTTGTTCACATCTTGTATCACGTCTTGTGTTCACGCATATGGTATATTTATAATAATCGGTATATTATATTTTATATTATATTTATTTTATATTATATTTTGGTTTCAAAAACGAATTTTTAGAGAATTACATCTCTAAAGTTTAAAATTGGATGATATTTCTGAAGCTCTAAGTATCCTAATAAAAAAGAGATTGGACGAAGTACAACAGTTAAGTACAATAGAATATAATGAAATCCCACAAATTATTCAGTCATTTCCAATAACTGCAAAGGATTTACTGGCGTTAGAAAACTGGTTGATGGACTCAGAGCAAAATAGGACAATATTGGCAAAAAAACATTCGTTCTTTTTTCTTTAAATAAAAAGACTCACAACTTTAATAAAACATTATATTTGGTAAACATGAAAGGATACATAATGTCCTGTAATTTGTGCCTACTGTTTACAAAACAATTCACATTCATATATCACATATCCACTAGTATATGAAAATAAGTTGTTGCAGCGATGTTCTGTTTTCTTCGCCGCTTGCATATTACTTTAAATACGAAATTGTCATAAAACTTCTTTTTGTAATAAACGTATTTATTTCCATGTTAAAAACATAACAATTTAATATCTAAATTAGAATCTTGTAAAGTCTTAATAACTCAATTGTACTTTTATTTAAAAAAAATTATAAACTCATAAATAAATGTTATTACAAGTTCTTCTTTCTCTATATAGATATAACATATCTTGATCAATTTAATATAATAAAATTTCTCTGTACAAGACACAAAAACTATTAATGTCGTCCATTGTCCATTGTCGTATGAGGTAAATGCTCACAATGAACCGATGTTCAAAGCAATTTTATTCTATTCTTTAACTAAACAGAATCTAAGCAGAGAATCTCTATCTAAGCGACGATTTAAGCAGAAATATATACATACAGGTTGCGTGAAAAGTTCGCGGAGCGACATATATAAGTAAACGGTAGAATTATAAATTGTAGTCCGTTATATAGAATCACTCTTCACATGAACCTAGGTTAGGTTTCATTTCCATCTGTCAATTCTTTCTGTGTTTACAAGCGAATTGAAGTTGACGTGTCAACTTCAATTCGCACGTGTCAGTATATTTGTTTGCAATGGAAAATTTGAAATAGCGTGCAGTGATTGAGTTCTTTGTTAAAAGAGGTTTAAAGGCAATGCAAATTCATTCAGAGATGATAAATGTGTTAGGGGAATCTGCTCCTTCAAAAACAATGGTTTGTAAATGGACACTTGAGTTTCAACGTGGTCGTACAAGCATTGAAGATGATCCACGCAGTGGTCGTCCAAAAAGCACATCAACACCAGAAATCATTGAGCAAATACATGTTATTATTTCTGAAGATCCAAGTGTGACTACGCGTGAAATTGCTCATACCATAAGCATTTCAAATGAACGGGTACGGCATATTTTGCATAAAGAATTACAAATGAAAAAGATGTTTGGAAAAGTGGTGCCGCATACGTTAACAATTCAACAAAAACTCGCTCGAAAGCAAATTTCTCAGCGTCATTTGGATCGTTTTAAGAAGAATAAAACCGATTTTGTGCGTCGTTTTATAACTATGGATGAGACTTGAATCTATCACCATGATCTTAAATTGAAACAGGAACGTTTACAGTGGTCTGAAGCTGAATATTCAGCTCCAAAGCAAACAAAGCATGAAAGAACGGCAAAAAAGGTTTTGGCATCAGTTTTTTGGGATGCTAAACGGATTTTGTTAATTGACTATCTGGAAAAAGGTAAAACAATTAACTCTGAATATTATTGTAACCTTTTGGATCAATTCGACGCAAAAATTCGTGAGAAAATTCCTGGTTTGCAGCACAAACAAATCATTTTTCACCAAGACAACGCACCTGCTCACACAAATATTTTGTCAATGTCTAAATTCAATAAATTAAAGTACAAATTGCTTGATCCACCATATTCTCCAGATTTGGCACCCAGCGAGTTCTACCTGTTCCGAAACCCAAAACAATTCCTCCGTGGAAAGCATTTTTTGTCGAATAAAGAAGCCATAGCAGCCGTAGAGGCATATTTCGCAGATCTTCCAGAAACACACTTCCTCGATGGAATAAAATTATTGGAGAGCCATTGGGCCAAGTGTATTGAAGTTAATGGAGGCTGTACTGAAGAATAAAATCATTTTTAGAATTTGGTATTCTTTATTTCAGTTTCGCTCTGCGAACTTTTCACGCAACCTGTATATATATGTATCTGTTTTAAAAAACTTAATTCTTTTGCAATTTTATTACTCTATTTTGCTACTTTCAGTCTCAAAATGTCAGTCATATTGGAGGTTCTAACATTAAAGAAATTGTACGAAAAATAATGTATCGTATTTTTACAAATGAAGTTGGCATGTCTTATTCTTAGAAAGAAACCAAGAAGAAACAAGCTTTCAAGAAATTAGCTGTGATATCTTGTACTTTTCGTAAGTTAGAAATTATTAATTAATATTTAATATACACTTCAGCAGAGTATCGCGAACAAATAAGTTCAAATTTTTTGAAAATAAAATGTATAAATAAAGTTGCTTCATATTTATTGAATTATAACATCTAGCAATATATTGGGTTGTCCGGAAAGTTCGTGCCGATTTTTAGTAGGTGGCGTAGGGATAGGTCTGAATATTTCAGAACGATTGAAAACAAATGACATGCGTGTATATCGTAAAAGACGGTACTTCAGGTATATTTGGAAAAAAATTTGGTTACGATACGTTAATTCGTGTCAGTTTTATACGCCTTTGAATATGGAAGAAAACAAAGTGCATTTTAGGCATTTAATGCTTTTCTTTTACCGGAAAGGCAAAAATGCCACATAAGTGGCAAACAAGATAAGCGCTGTTTATGGCGAAGGTGCTGTAACTGAAAGAACTCTGTGGAAGTGGTTTGCTAGGTTTAAAGCTGATGATTTCAACCTTAAAGATAAAAAACGCCCGGTAGGCCCTCCACCACAGATGAAGGTCAGATTAAAATACTGATCGAGAAGAACCCACGCTATACGACACGTAAATTAGCAGAAATGTTAAATATGTCAAAATTCACCACCCACGAGCATTTTGTGAAGCTTGGCTACATAAACCGTTTTGATGTATAGGTTCCCCACGATTTAACGGAGAAAAATCTGATGGATCGCATTTCCATTTGCGACTCGCTCTATAAACGCAACGAGGGGACACCATTTTTGAAGCAAATAGTGACGGGGGATGAAAAATGGATCATTTATAATAATGTTGACCGAAAAAGATCTTGGGGAAAGCGGAATGAACCACTTTTAGCTACCCCAAAAGCTGGTCTTCATCCAAAGAAGGTCATGCTCTGTGTCTGGTGGGATTGGAAAGGGATCCTGTATTATAAGCTTTTACCAAACAACGAGATAAATTCAGAGAAGTATTGTTCTCAATTAGACGAATTAAAGACAGCAATTGAACAAAAACGTCCAGAAATAGCGAATCGGAAGGGCGTCGTGTTTCATCAGGACAATGCACGGCCTCATGTGTCTTTGATAACTCGACAAAAGTTGTTGGAGCTCGGTTGGAATGTTCTACCCCATCCACCATATTCACCAGACCTCGCGCCCTCTGATTTCCACCTATTTCGATCATTACAAAATTCCCTTAATAGAAAAAACTTCAACTCTTTGGTCGAGACAAAAAATCACGTAGAAAAATTTTTCGCTGAAAAACCTGAGAGATTCTGGAAGGACGGAATTTTCAAGTTGCCTGAAAAATGGAGAAAAGTTGTAGAACAGAATGGCACCTATATAATTTAATAAATGTATACTAAAATTTAAATCTCCTGCGTTTCAATTTTCCTTCAAAATCGGCACGAACTTTCCGGACAACCTAATAATATAACTAAAGAATATAATTATTTCAGAATTGTTAACTATTATATGCATTTGTAGTAATAATTGTTTTTACAATCTACTTTTTTTATACGTGTGTGTGCATATACAGTGTATCTGGTAATTCATGATAATTGGTGTACAGGCAGAACTCGTCAAAATAACCAAACAGTTATATACCATTTCGTAATTTTCTCAATATTTATCTCATAATTAATTAAAATGTATAAACGAATGAGTGCACAAGAAGCGACAGGATGGGCTCTGTAGATAAAAAATATGGCTTACCTCTTAGCAACGAAAAGTAAACAGCTGATTTCGAGGCAGAGTGACGAATGACATACAAGTTATATTATATTGTCACTCTGCCTCGAAATCAGCTGTTTACTCATCGTTGCTAAGAAGTAAACCATATTTTTTAAATATAGAACCCATCCTGTCCGCTCCTTGTGCGCTCATTCGCTTATATATTTTAATTAATTACAGAATAAATATTGAGAAAATTACGAAATGGTCCCTAATAGCAATATTTCAGCAGACTGACGGCAAACTGACGGCAGAATGAATCAGAGGTTTACAGCAGATTGGTGCCAATTGCTTGTCCATTGTGCCCGCATTCTGACGGCAGAGTCTGGCAACATTATTTGACGGCAGACTGATGCCAGAAACAAAGCAGATCCTGACGTACACAGTCTAGTGACAGATTGATAGCAAAAACGTATCAGATCCTGACGTACGCAGTCTGGCCGGCAGATTGACGGCAGAAATACAACAGATTCTGCAGTGCGCAATCTGGCACCAGAATGATGGCAGAAACGTAACAGATCTTGCTGTTCACAGCCTGACAGCAGACTGGTGATAGAAATACAACAGATTCTGCCATATTCATTTTTACATCCCCCTCCCCCCTTCCCATTCAGTCATGCACATTACATGAAAGTAATTATTAAAAAACAATACAATATACGAACGTAATTGTTTTTATTTATCACACAAGACAAAACGAGACAGTCAATCAGATTCACAATGGTGTTTACCGTAAATGGCGGAACACGAAGGCGACGATGTTTCTTCTCATAGCTCAGGAAGTGACGACACACGTGACTTCGAGACGATGTTGGAGTAACTGATGAAAGGGTTGGTGAACGGTGAAATGGCAATTTGATGCCATATCTGTAAATTTAAATTATATTACAGTTGCATATTTCTAACTACAATTATGTATAATATATGTTTAAGTAAATACATGAATTAAAAGTTACATTGTATTAATGTCACAATTTCCCACAGTAAATACAATACACGTGTCGTATTCATAGTGGCATAGCAAATTGCAGCATCGATTGTAACTCTTCATAATTGCTGGGATAAGACGGGAAAATCAGAGAAATCTGGATAAAAATATTTACCTGTGTCTCTTGCGTTCTCGTAATAGATTCGTCGATGCTCCATAACATCCGATCCTCCCGTGATGACCTAAACATGTAAAATGTCCGAGAGACACTATAAGTTGTCATATATCATTTGTAGGGGTCTTCGGAAAGCGATCTTCAAGCGTGGCAATAGAAATGAAAGACTCTGATTGGTTCATTTCCTTATGCGTTATGCATTATGCCTTTATGCAAAAGTGTGTGCTTCCCGCATTACTTGCCCGATTTAGCCGATTTTTTAAGGCTACGCCTATTTCTCTTCTCTTTTCTTTCCGAAGATCCCTACAAATGATACATGACAGTTTATACCTGGGCGGCGTAACCGTCCTCCCTTGTAGGGACCTTTGGACGAGCGGAGAAGTTTTAAAAAACAATTCACATTCATATATCACATATCACTAGTATATGAAAAATAAGTTGTTGCAGCGATGTTCTGTTTTCTTCGCCGCTTGCATATTACTTTAAATACGAAATTGTCATAAACTTCTTTTTGTAATAAACGTATTTATTTCCATGTTAAAAACATAACAATTTAATATCTAAATTAGAATTTGTAAAGTCTTAATAACTCAATTGTACTTTTATTTAAAAAAAATTATTAAACTCATAAAAATGTTATTACAAGTCTTCTTTCTCTATATAGATATAACATATCTTGATCAATTTAATATAATAAAATTTCTCTGTACAAGACACAAAACTATTAACTGTCGTCCATTGTCCATTGTCGTATGAGGTAAATGCTACAATGAACCGATGTTCAAAGCAATTATTTCTATTCTTTAACTAAACAGAATCTAAGCAGAGAATCTCTAATCTAAGCGACGATTTAAGCAGAAATATATACATACAGGTTGCGTGAAAAGTTCGCGGAGCGACATATATAAGTAAACGGTAGAATTTATAAATGTAGTCCGTTATATAGAATCACTCTTCACATGAACCTAGGTTAGGTTTCATTTCCATCTGTCAATTCTTTCTGTGTTTACAAGCGAATTGAAGTTGACGTGTCAACTTCAATTCGCACGTGTCAGTATAATTTGTTTGCAATGAAAATTTGAAATAGCGTGCAGTGATTGAGTTCTTTGTTAAAAGAGGTTTAAAGGCAATGCAAATTCATTCAGAGATGATAAATGTGTTAGGGAATCTGCTCCTTCAAAAACAATGGTTTGTAAATGGACACTTGAGTTTCAACGTGGTCGTACAAGCATTGAAGATGATCCACCGCAGTGGTCGTCCAAAAAGCACATCAACACCAGAAATCATTGAGCAATACATGTTATTATTTCTGAAGATCCAAGTGTGACTACGCGTGAAATTGCTCATACCATAAGCATTTCAAATGAACGGGTACGGCATATTTTGCATAAAGAATTACAAATGAAAAAGATGTTTGGAAAAGTGGTGCCGCATACGTTAACAATTCAACAAAAACTCGCTCGAAAGCAAATTTCTCAGCGTCATTTGGATCGTTTTAAGAGAATAAAACCGATTTTGTGCGTCGTTTTATATATGGATGAGACTTGAATCTATCACCATGATCTTAAATTGAAACAGGAACGTTTACAGTGGTCTGAAGCTGAATATTCAGCTCCAAAGCAAACAAAGCATGAAAGAACGGCAAAAAAGGTTTTGGCATCAGTTTTTTGGGATGCTAAACGATTTTGTTAATTGACTATCTGGAAAAAGGTAAAACAATTAACTCTGAATATTATGTAACCTTTTGGATCAATTCGACGCAAAAATTCGTGAGAAAATTCCTGTTTGCAGCACAAACAAATCATTTTCACCAAGACAACGCACCTGCTCACACAAGTATTTTTGTCAATGTCTAAATTCAATAAATTAAAGTACAAATTGCTTGATCCACATATTCTCCAGATTTGGCACCCAGCGAGTTCTACCTGTTCCGAAACCCAAAACAATTCCTCCGTGGAAAGCATTTTTTTGTCGAATAAAGAAGCCATAGCGCCGTAGAGGCATATTTCGCAGATCTTCCAGAAACACACTTCCCGATGGAATAAAATTATTGGAGAGCCATTGGGCAAGTGTATTGAAGTTAATGGAGGCTGTACTGAAGAATAAAATCATTTTTAGAATTTGGTATTCTTTATTTCAGTTTCGCTCTGCGAACTTTCACGCAACCTGTATATATATGTATCTGTTTAAAAAACTTAATTCTTTTGCAATTTTATTACTCTATTTTGCTACTTTCAGTCTCAAAATGTCAGTCATATTGGAGGTTAACATTAAAGAAATTTACGAAAAATAATGTATCGTATTTTTTACAAATGAAGTTGGCATGTCTTATTCTTAGAAAGAAAACCAAGAAGAAACAAGCTTTCAAGAAATTAGCTGTGATATCTTGTACTTTTCGTAAGTTAGAAATTATTAATTAATATTTAATATACACTTCAGCAGAGTATCGCGAACAAATAGTTCAAAATTTTTGAAAATAAAATGTATAAATAAAGTTGCTTCATATTTATTGAATATAACATCTAGCAATATATTGGTTGTCCGGAAAGTTCGTGCCGATTTTTAGTATGGCGTAGGGATAGGTCTGAATATTTCAGAACGATTGAAAACAAATACATGCGTGTATATCGTAAAAGACGGTACTTCAGGTATATTTGGAAAAAATTTGGTTACGATACGTTAATTCGTGTCAGGTTTTATACGCCTTTGAATATGGAAGAAAACAAAGTGCATTTTAGGCATTTAATGCTTTTCTTTTACCGGAAAGGCAAAAATGCCACATAAGTGGCAAACAAGATAAGCGCTGTTTATGGCGAAGGTGCTGTAACTGAAAGAACTCTGTGGAAGTGGTTTGCTAGGTTTAAAGCTGATGATTTCAACCTTAAAGATAAAAAACGCCCGGTAGGCCCTCCACCACAGATGAAGGTCAGATTAAAATACTGATCGAGAAGAACCCACGCTATACGACACGTAAATTAGCAGAAATGTTAAATATGTCAAAATTCACCACCCACGAGCATTTTGTGAAGCTTGGCTACATAAACCGTTTTGATGTATAGGTTCCCCACGATTTAACGGAGAAAAATCTGATGGATCGCATTCCATTTGCGTCGCGAAGTATGACTGGATATACTTGTGCTGTCAAATTGCCTTCAATGAAAAAAGGGCCAACTGTCTACCATTAAGAATACCAGCCCATACGTTACTTTTGTGGATATTAGGTATGATTGTCTCTTTTCCAGTGAGGATTAACGTCACCTCCAATATCTACAATTGTGTCTATTTACATTTCCAGTCAGTTCAAATGTTGCTTCATCAGAGAAAAACAATATTAAAATAATAAGGATCGTCGACAATCATCTCCATCATAAATCACAAAATTCGATGCGTCTATCAAAATCGTCTTCGGACACTCTTGGGCCAAATGGAGTTATATGGATGCCATTTATTCAATTTCAGAATTTTACTGACAGATGCATGACCGATTTCGTATTCTTGTCAACGCGATTGATGGAAATGTGGGGACTTTCAACGAAAGACTGTAAAACATCTAATGCCTTATCATTATTTGTTGCTGTTTTACGTCTACCAGGTCTTAGGCGGCTTTTTAACGCTACTAATGTCCTCGAAACGTTGAATAGTACAGATTACAGTACTTTTGGAGATCCTATTATTTTCATTCCGAAAATTTTCATTAAATAATCGCGGTTACTGTTTTATACCCTCTTTGTTGATCTCCCCATCCTCGCATCATTAACAGTGTTATTCGATCTCTTTCAGAAAGCTCCGCCATTCTTAATTAGAGCAAATAAGAATTAATCAGGTAAGTGATAGTAAATTGATCTAAATAATTAAGTAAAGAAAAATACTAATTATTAAGTGTTGGTCCAACTATCGATTTGTTTATTTCAACCAGCACTAGCAAAAAGCTCGTTGAGCAACTGAAAATCTAATAGATGAATTAATAACATTTACGAAAAAATTCTGGGTTATTGGAAACAAAATGAAGATGTTTGGGACAACAATTGAATGCAATGTTTGGGACAATCAATTGAACGCAATGGCTTCTTTTGCTCCAGAAACAATTTTTGGGGCTGTTCGTTTTTATCCACGAGGTGACTGCTGCTCGCTAAGAAAAAGACAGCACTGCATCAAAGATTCAAATCAGTGAACCGCATTGTTTGCTCAAGAGCTTGTATTACTATTGATGCCTGCGAGAGTGAGACAATAAAGGTCCGCCCCGCCAACGCTTTCGGGTAGCAGATTCCCACTAACGCCTTCGGACATT